ACTCAATCTCATTTCCAGAAGGTTCAGGCTGACAGGCCCCATACACGGTCTCGCCCCTTTCAGAGCTTTAAGCTGAAGCCCACAGACTTTCCCAGAACCCACCGCGGCCACATTGGGGCAGAATGGCTGCCACTCTGGTGAATGGGCCTTGTTTTCCTTTGACTTGATGTGAGGCCTGGGTCAGGGGAAGGTGCTTGGAGCTGCTAATCTACACCGGACGGTGGGAAAGCAAGGAAAGATAGGGCTTCCTCTGTGTGGCAGAGAATAAAAGAAAGAGCTTGAATTCAGGTGCTGAGGGAGTAGAAATGGTTGTCATTAGTTATGTGAGCAGGGCAGGAGCACACCCTGGCCCTTCCTCTCCCAGGTCCATTCTTTTGCACAACCTTTTCCCATCTCCCTCTTGAAATTCCTTTAACAGAGGGCAGAGCCTCTCTTGCCACTTAAAGCATAAATATAGAATAGGTTAAAATGCAATGTAGAATAGGTCTCCACATGGATAGAGGGTTAGTACCTCTCTCTATTCCCACAATTAAGAGCACATTTTTAAAAAAGTAGATATTAAGATGGTTGGGGGGCTAGCACCTAAGGAACTGCACAGTGGTGATTTCTGGGGCTTTCCTTTTGTTTCATATATTTCAGGTTTATTTAAACTGGAGTAGCTAGCAAATCAGAAATGCCACCAGGGGAAGATACAGAAAATTCCAAGAAAAAGCTTTCTCCTAACTAAAGGACCAGGCCAGGGGAAGCTTAGCATCAGAAAATATTTACACTAACTGCTATATTCTAAGCAAATGCCTTAAGGGGAAAAAATGTCCCTTCTCTACTGCTTCAGCAATGACTAAGCAAGAAAAGAAGACTCTGATGCTGGCTGATATAATGAGGTATCTCCTACCCACATTTCTGATTGGGACTAGGGAAGGTGAAGGAGCAATCTGTGACTGTTAGCATGTCACTGTAAGAAACAACTTAAAAGCTGTTTTTGTTAGGCCTATGAATTAACTAAAAGCAAGATAAAAACTGGGCAACCAGATCACTCACTTTGCATCTGTGTCCTTTGTTCTGAGGTGAATGCAGTCTCTGGATTTGCCTATAAGCATCTGTGGCAGAAGGCCAACTGGCCCTCAGATAGGAAATACCTTTTTACCTGTTGAACAGGTAAAACTTCTCAAAAGAGAGAGCAACCAAACACTCAAAAGATTACCCACAAGGCAGTAGACTTTCTGGTCCCTTCAAATGGTTTGTGATTTTTTTTTAAAAAAATCATTGTGAGACAAAAAACAGAACTAAAATCCAACCAGGCCACACCACTGACTGGGCACATTTAATCAGTAGGCATACCTGCCAACCAATCTTCCCTATTTAACCTAAGTCAAATGTTTGTATTTTCTAAGATGGCTGAAAATGTAAATAGGTGCTGCTTCCTGTAACTGGCATGTAATAAAACTCTTTCTCCAAAAACTCAAGGTTCTATTGTCATTGCCACCATCTAAAGTCAGTGAAGACTATTACACCCGATTACAGTTGACGTGATTTGTCCCACAAAACTTCATGTGCTGGAAGGCTGGTCCTCAGTGTAATGGTAGTGATAAGTGGTGGGTCCTAAGAGGTGGAGCCTAGAGAAAGGTCGTTAGGTTATTGGGGGGATTCTATTGGGAAAGATTGAGGTCGTTTTGTGAGTCATTTTCTAAAAAGAGAATGAGCTGTTATAAAAGGAATAGCCATGGCTCCTCTAATCCCCCTCTGCCCTCTGGTTTCCTGTATCACCATGGGAGCACTCTTTCAGATGCCTCACCATTCTGATATCCTTCACTATTAGGCCTTTATTCTCCACTATGAAGCCAAAAGGAAAACTAATCTTGGATTTTACATCTCCAAAAGAGGTTAGCCAACACAACTTCTTTTTTTAAAACATACAGCCTCAAGTATTATGTTTGGGCAATGAAGAATGGAGTAGGAAATGCCGTAAACTCAGTAGTTTCAAAGCCCCCCTCTGTCCTTCTCCTGGGATGGTAACAGAGGATACTTCATACAGAGGACTTTTACTGCCACCTAACAGTCACAAGTTTAGTTTTATGGGGACTAGCAAAGAAGGCATCCTGCTTCTTTTTGAGTCAGTGTCCAGAACCAGTAGAGGCCTCCTAGGACCCAGGACCCCCACAATCCCTCCCTAGACAACCTAGCATGTAGGATTCCCTTAATGGAGGCTGGGTAGAGAACTCTTACCTCCACCAACTGATAGAAACAAGTAGAAGAATGCCAGTACTACAGAAGCAATGCCAGTACTGACAAATACAAACAGACTAGTAAGAGCTCAGAGGCCCTAACATGAACCCAGAAATATTCAACAATGACCCAATCATGCAGGGAACCAGGTAAACCATGCTTTAAATGGGGGAACATAATCATTTCATGACAAGATTGTGATGATACAGATTTTAGGACTGCCCGACAAGATTTTAAAGTATAAAACTGCTTCAACAAGCCATTCTGAATACATAAAGAACACAGGAGGTTTCGGGAAAAATTTTAACTGAATCATAGAATAACTATAATTGGAAACTGAATGGATAGGCTCAATACTAGAATTGAAGGGACAAAAGAAATTCCATGAACTTGAAAAACAACAGAAACTACCCAATCTAAGCAGCAGAGAAAAAATCACCAGAAACATAAACAGACTCTCAGAGGTCATTAAAAAAGTCTAACATTCCTGTAATTGAGGGACAAAGAAGAGAAAAGAGAGCAGATATATGACAGAATCTGGATATGATGATAGCTGCCTGTAATCTCAACACTTCAGAATCAGAGGCAGGAGGATCACGAATTCAAAGTTAGCCTAGACCACATAGCAAGATGCTGTCTAAAACAACAAGAAAATATCCTCATTCCAACAAGGCATGGTGGTATATGCCTGTAGACTCAAAAGGCTGAGGTAGGAAGATATTTTGAGTCCATGAAAAATAAAATAATTTTATATTTTAAAAAAAGCAATGGAAAAAAACTTTTCAAATGTGTAACAAGGCAAATCTACAAATTCAAGAGTCTGAGTGAAAAACAGGATAAAGCTAAAGAAATCTGTTCCAAAACATATCAGAACTAATTGGCAACTATAAAAAAGGAAAGGAAAGGAAAGGAAAGGAAGCTGGGTGCCAGTGGCTCACGCCTGTAATCCTAGCTTCTCAGGAGGCTGAGATCTGAGGATCACAGTTTGAAGCCAGCCCGGGCAGGAATGTCTGTGAGACTCTTATCTCCAATAAACCACTAGAAAACCGGAAGTGACATTGTGGCTCAAGTGGTAGAGCGCTGGCCTTGAGCTGAAGAGCTGAGGAACAGCACCCAGGCCTAGAGTTCAGGCCCCATGACCGGACCCCCCCCAAAAAAAAAGTAAGGGAGGGAGGGAGGGAGCTACTCAGAAGGCTGAGATCTGAGAATCAAAGTTCAAAGCCAGCCCAAGCAGAAATGTCTCTTATCTCAAGCAAAAAACCAGAAGTGGAGGTGTGGCTCAATGACAGAGTGCCAGTCTTGAGTGAAAAAGCCAAGTCCAAGTGAGAAGCTCTCTCTCTTTCTCTCTCAATTCTGCTCCCCTTTCTTTTAACTGTTACAAAAGCACAAGTGGGGTTGTCATTCATCCACTAAGCATCAGAGGCAGTTTGAACATGTGTACTCTTGGGCTCATAACCTTCCCAGACCCTGAACTCCATTCACTGCAGCTGCAGTAAGCAGAGGGAGGACAGCAAGCTATCTGGAAGGGATGAAAGCTAAATGAAGGAGAGATTGGCAGCCCAGAATATCATCTAGTCTCAGAAAAACAACAAAAAGAGTTCTGAAAGAATTAGTCAAGGACAAAACAAAATTTTACAACTTGAAGGGTCTTGGGAAGTATCTATTGTGCTAGTAGGGATCCAGATCCCAGAAAATATGTGTAACGTCCAAAATCTCCAGTTAGTGCCGGAGTGGAAACTGGACTCCATAGTTCTGACACCAATTCCTTGCTTTGTGAAACAGTGAAAAAACTAATGGCTAGGAAGAGCTTCACCTGGGCACTCTTCTAAGTGGAAAGAAAAGTCCCTGACTATTGAGATATCAAGGAAGTCACATGTAGGTCAGGTCAGCACAAATTTGAGGAAAGACTCTAGAAAATGAGAAAGAAATTGAAAAATTAGAATTGTTCAGCAATCCAGACAACTAACATAGACCTTTTGGTGGAACTGTTAAGACTTTCTAAAAACCTCATCTAAACCGTGAAATCATTACATAAAAAGTGATATATAGTATGTGAGTCAGCTTTGTGTCACTGTGACAATATGCCTGAGAGAAACAACTGAATAAAAGGGAAAGGTTTGCTTTGGTTCATGGTTGCTTAGTGGATGGGTTTGGGTCTGTAGTGACAGAATTTATCCTGTTGAGGAAGCATGGCTGAGGAAGCTGCTCAGCTTATGGCAGCTTGAAATTTAAAAATAACTAAATAACTAAATAAAAGGTTCAAGTGAAGTTGTGCTGTGGCTCAAAGTGGTAGAGCATTAGCCTTGAGCTAAAGAGCAGGGACAGTGCCCAGGCCCTGAGTTCAAACCCCACAACCAACCAAAAAAGAAACAACCAAAGAGATAATGATTTTAAAAACCAGATTCAAGTGGTAGAGTACCAGCTTTGATTAAAAAAAGTGTTTAGGGTCAGCACCTAGGCCTTAAATTCAAGCTCCAAGACTAATAGAAAGAGAAGGGGGGAAGGAAAGAAGGGAGAGAAAAAGATTACAGATGTTTTAGTCTGCTTTGCTCTAACAGACATTTTTCTTCTTGAATGAGTATGTCTGGCTTGTATATTCAGAAATGTAGTGTTTGGGGTGTCATGTCTGAGTTGTGTTCAGTACCAAAAAAAAATCTCCAAGATAACTTTGGAGTTAGACGTGGTGGTGCACATTTGTAATCCCAGCTATTCAAGAAGTTGGGTCAGGAAGATCTCTTGAGGTCAGCCTAAGCAAAAAGAATTGAAGACTGACTTACCTCAAATGAATATGCTTTCCCAATGCCATCACCTGCTCCAGTGATCACTGTAGAGAGAGGATGGGTTGTAATCAATAAGACACAGCTCTAAACTCTTCATTGGTGCCTATATTTCCTCATATACCAACTATCTAAATGACATTGCTTTACTTGAGACGTCTTAGCCCTTGATGACCTTTCTCTGAACATTCAAAATTAAAGTTTTTATGGGCTTTTCTGTTTGTGCCAATACTGGGGCTTTAACTCAGAGCCTGGCACTTTTGCTTAGCTTTTTCACTCAAGATTGCCTTTCTATCATTTGGGCCACACTTCTACTTCCAGCTTTTTGGTAGACATACGAGTGTCTAATGCCTGTCCTGGATGGCTTTGAACCAAAATTCTTAGATCTCAGCCTCTTTAGTAGCTAGGATTACAGTTGTGAGTCACTGATACCTAGAAAGATTTTATGTTTTGCTTTGAGGAGGGCTGTTTTTGTTGTTGGTGGTGGTCATGAGCTTGAACTCTGAGCCTGGGTGCTGTCCCTCAGCTCTTCAGTTCAAGGCTAGTGCACTTGAGCTACAGTGCCACTTCCAGTTTTCTAGTGGTTCATTGGAGATAAGAGTCTCACACAGACTTTCCTGCCCAAGCTGGCTTTGAACCATGATCCTCAGATCTCTGCCTCCTGAGTAGCTAGGATTACAGGTGTGAGCCACTGGTGCTGGGCTGAGGTGAGCTTTTTAAAAATTATGTTTTTAAAGTACTTATATAAAGGGATCTTAATCCCACATGACAATTCATAAGTATAGTTGATCAATGTTATCCCTCAATCTATCCTCAATTGGTAAGACTGTGGAAAACACTTTGAAATTCAACGAAGAACTAAGCCAAGAAACATTTTATCCAGGCTCCTAAAGATTTAGACAGTACAAGCCTTAACTCCTCAAGGGCAAGCTCTGTACCCTGCTATCTCTCTACCCTCATGCTCAATGGTTGCTCCAAGAACATTTCAAGGCTCCCTCTGAAATCAATTTCAGCCTCCTTCCACACCCACTCAGCAGGAAAGCAGCCTTCCAAGACTTGTGGGACAGGAGAACGAAGACCAAAATACAATAGGAACAAAGGGAATACAGCAACCCAAAGGAAGCTGAAATTTGTACTAGATACAGACTAGACAGTACACACAATCTAATAACTACTGTCACTTGTTTAGTGATGGGGCTCTAGGCAAGACCTTGTTTGAATGAACGTCATGAATTCAAATATCATAATTTGGTAGTATATTCCTGCAGCTTCCCTTAGCTTCCACAAGTTAAAGGGCATGCTTTAAAATGAATAATGGGAACAAAAGATACACTCCATTTACTTGAGAGTAGGTGGAGGCCACGACATACAAGCATCAAAGGAGGGTATGGCAGAAGTGTCCTAATTTGAACAATTTTGCTATGATTTTATCTGTTCCTAGGAGCTCCTGAGTGGATGCATGCATGCCCCTGCTCCTGCTAAGTTCAACAGACTTTGCATCTTACCTTCTACACAGGGAAGCACCTTCAAAAGCACCCAGCCTAGGAATACAGCCAAGATACTCATGTACCAGCACACACTGGTAACTATCAAATGCTTACTTTCCACTCTTCCAAGTGACATCACTTGGTTTATGTTCATATGGTGCAGGTACCATCCCTAACTTCTGTGTGTTCAAGAAGAGAAGCCCAGGGAGAGAACGTTCTTGATCAAGGTCTCAGTGCTAAAAATGATAACATCAATATTCAAGCCTAAACTGTCAGACTTTGGATCCTCAACTCTAGAAAGTTATGCCAGTGAAATAACTTATAAAGCAAGCACAGAGCTTAGAGTGCTCTATCCGGAGAAATTTAAGGCTCTCAATAACTCTACTATCTGGAGTTTCTTCTCATCCCCAGTTGGAAATATATTTGTCTAATGTCTTCCTGTGCCCTCTTCTAACAATAGGTATGTTTAATTTGGATTCAAAGCATAAATATTCTAAGTTTCATGTGAACTTTCTTTTGGAATGTGTGTTCTCAGAGAGTCTATTCCCTGTATTTTAGCAGGCAGAGGCTAGGCAAAGATCTAGGTCTCCTTAGCTCATAGTTGTTTGAATGGGTGAGGAACAGAGTATTTGAATCCAAAATATTCAAACTCCAAGCAACTCAGCAAGCTCACTTGAGAGAGCACGTTATACACACACACAGACACAGACACAGACACAATATAAGAAGTGTTGATTATAAATCCATATGCTATTCTAAACAATTTCTTTCCCAGATGGTATGGTTTTTTTTAATTAATAATTTCTACTGTGAAGTGTTTAAGTTTGCACAGTTTGGCAAGTAAGGACCCAGAATGCCCAGCTAGTGTGAATTTCCAGTAACTAGCAAACAATTGTTTAGTAAGTAAAACCCATGCAATATTTAGGTTGTAACATACTAAAAAATGTATTTCTATTTTGTCTGAAATACCAACTTAACTGAGTATTCTATGTTTTATTTGGTAGCTCCATAAATTTGTTAACAATCCTGGCTGTTTAACCCTGGTTGATATATCTAAAATTACTTAAATTCTTTTATTTTGCTTAAGCCAGTGAATACTTATTTTTTATATATTTATTTTTAGTGTCCAACTTTGGAAAGAAACTTTAAAAGACCCTAGCATTTCCTCCAAGGAATTGCTAAAACTTTTACCTTCACCCCAATGAGAAACTGAAATTCTGCAGGATGCTTCTTCCCACACACTAGAGCCTGAGGCTCCCATATCTAACTCCCATATCTAACTACCTAGAAAATGTGGCTCCAGAGAGATTTTTGTTGCCTTGATTTTGCAACACACTCACTTTTCCAGGGCACTAAGAAAGTAACAAAAATATATAATAAAAATAACATGACAACATTCAGATTTCACAACTTTGGAAACAACTTTTAGCCGAATGAAAGCATCATGTACTCATTATCTTGTCCATGTAATTGTAACCCCTCTATATAGTATTTTCACAATTAAAAAAAAAGAAATCTGGATACAAGGCTGCAGAAATCAAAAAGAAGATAATCCAGCAGGTGAAGCTGAGCAGACAGTCACACAGGTAAGAGTTGGGGAGCATACTTTTCTCATGATTCTAGCGTGCCCATGACACGCTAATCTCACTCATACTGTTTAAATCCCACACATTTAATAATATTAAGTTCCAAAAGGAATTGCATCTTTGCTCTCAAAGAGAAAAGACACAGCATATCTTTGAGACATCAGTAAGACTCAGCAATAGCACACATTTAACAAGAGATGAAAAACTCCCCTTACCTGCCCACTGGCCCATTGACTTCAAGAATGACCTTGACTGTACTTTCCAGAAGCTCAGGAAAATGCATCGGGAGAATTTCATGCACTTGACCAGGCAAATCAGGCACACCAGCAGCCCTACAAAAATGAAGAACTGTCCCAGAGCCTCCTCCATGTCTACACAACTGATGTTGCTGAAGACCTGGCGGGTCCCTTGGGTGTCTCCTAGGCCAGAGCTGCCTGGGGGCCTGCCAAATCTCCTCTGGGCGGCACTGGGTGCATTCCATTGACTTCAGGGCATGTAGATTACAGTAACCTCTTTAAACAACCCTCTGATTCACAGGCTTTTGAATAAAGTATTCTTTCTAATATCTTTATAGCACTGCTAGGATTTTGTTACTATAAAGGGGCTGGTAAAGAAATAGGAAGTGGGCATGCATAGAACAAAACAAAGTCTAGACAGAAAAAAAAAATGGCAGCCCAGGGGTCTTTTTTCTAGATTTAGAGATTGCAATGGTCTAGTCTCTCATTGAAGGGGATGGAACCTTAAAAAGGCAGCCCAAGTGGGAGGTCCTGCAGTCAGGGGGATGGGGAGTGCACCTGGAGAGGGTTCTTTTCAAGGGCTATTGCCTGACCCAGACCCTGACTTCCTGTTTTGAAATGTAATCCCTGCTTCCCACCAGTTCTCCCAACACCACACTCCTTCGTAAGGGGCCCTCTTCAGAGCCTATACCATACTTGCTGGACTTTCAGCCTCAAAAACTGTGGCTCAAATAAGTCTCTGTTCTTCCTAAAGTTAGTCCACCTCAGGCATTTTGTTATAGAAATGGAGAGTTGACTAATATAGAAACTAAAAGAATACTAAATCCAAATCAGTCAGTCATTCATTCAACAAATGTTTATTGACCAGGTGGCAGTCACTGTTCAAAATCCTAGGGATACAATATTAAAGAAGCAGACTATCTATCTCAGAGCTTAGATTCTATTATGGGAGACTAACAAAAAGTTTAAAATACGATGATAATGACAGAAGTAAGCACAGGGGGAACATATTAGAGCAACTCCTTAGCAGATGCTTAGAGAATTTCTGGAAGGAGTTCCATGATGAGATGGCCTTTGGGTTGAAATTTGATCAATAAGGAGACAGCCCCCAAAGATGGGGGGGGGGCACCTCCAGACTGATGTGTTTGAGGAACAAATGGGACAGTATAGTGAACTAGGGAGTTCAGGTCTGGCTGGAGCCATCTTGACCAAATGGATGGTAGGGTCTGGCATCTTGTCTTCATGGTAGGGGCAGGTGAAGCCCTTGTCTTCCAGGTGATGGGCATGCTTGGATCCTGGAGACAGGGGTGGGGATTTGGATAATAAGTTACTAAAACTGTCAGTCCAGTGCCTCTGACTGGGAGTTTCCTGTGACCCTGCCCTCTGACCTGACCCTATTTAGGCACAGACCAGCTCAGGTACCATTATGCCATGCCATGTGTCTCCATGTCTTGTCCTGTCTCCTACCTCCTGGCTCTTCTCCAGTGACCATGGCATCTCACTTCAACTCTCCATTGCAGCTGAATTTGTTTGTTGGTATTGTTTTTGTTCTTTCTTTCCTCTCTGGGCCTTCATGGCTCAGTTTCCTGACAATGTTAAGTGTATTTGCTGGCTTCTGGTCTTTGAGACAGGAATCCACCATGCAGTTGCCAGCCTTTTAATAAAGACTCCAAGATTTGACCTCTCAAAATATGGCTTCTCCGTTTTCTCACCTTACAACAATAGTAGAGGGACTTAGTTGTAGATAGCAAGGGAGAGAAAAGAAGGCCAGAGATGGGGGGAACAGACAATTCTTGGTGGAAAGTTTGAAATTTAATCAAAAAGCAACAAAAAGCCTTGCATGGTTCAAGCCAGCCTGGGCAGGAAAAGCCATGAGACTCTTATCTCCAATAAACCACTAGAAGACTGGAAGTGGCACTGTGGCTCAAGCGGTAGAGCACTCGCCTTGAGCTGAAGAGCACAGGGATAGCGCCTAAGCCCAACGTTCAAGCCCCACAACCAATGAGAGAGAGAGAGAGAGACAGAGACAGAGACAGAGACAGGGAGAAAAGAAAGAAAAAGAAAAGAAAGGAAGGAAGGAAGGAAGGAAAAAAGGAAAGAAAGAAAGTTTCTACATCCCTAAATAAATATTGTCAAAGTGTCCTTCATTCTTCAGTCTTGCCAATAACTTATGAGAGTGTTTTTCTATTGCTGTGATAATAGAACATATTGACAAGCTTTGGGATTCTTCTTATGGGTGAGAAATAGTATACATGTTGTTTTAATTTAAAATTACCTTTAGAAGCCAGGAACCGGTGGCTCACATCTGTAATCCTAGCTACTCAGGAGACTGAGATCTGAGGATCACGGTTCAAAGCCAGCAGGAAAGTCTGTGAGATACTGATCTCCAATTAACCACCAGAAAACCAGAAGTGGTGCTGTGGCTCAAAGTGGTAGAGCCTAGCCTTGAGCTGAAGAGCTCAGGGATAGTGCCCAGGCCCAGAGTTCAAGCCCCATGACCAAAAAAAAAAAATTACCGTTAGAGGTGATGTTGAAGATATTTTCCTAAGTCAGTCAAAGGGCTGCTTGTACTTTTTTCTAGGTATTTTCTGGCCTGTTGTTTTGCTTGCTCTTTTGTTTTTATTTGGTTTGTTTGAAACAAGTCTGCCCATACAGCCCTGTCACTGGAAGAGTTATGAAGAATTCCTTCAACTTCAATGCTTCCGTGGAAGGTTGTCGGAACTTGAGAATTTTAAGGGATCTCACAAAAAAAAAAGGTTGTCTCAGCAGATGAAAGCTTTAGCAAGGATTTATTTTAGTGTAACAGAAAAAAGTAGGGAGGAATAGAGGGGAGCAGTCTGTATGCTTTCCATACAGAAATTGGGAGTCTGACACAGTGGCTAAATCTATACTCCTAGCTACATCACCTAGGTGCTAATTGTTGTTCAAGGCCAGTCTTGGCAAAAAAAATTGACAAGACTCTATCTGACCAATGTTTGGGAGTTGTGGTTCATATGCGTTAATCCAGTGACTCAGGAGGATGGAAGTCTAGGCTGATTCAGGCACAAAGTGAGACCCTATCTCACCCTATCTACTCAAGGAGTAGAAAGATAGCCTAGCAAGTACAAGGCCGTGAGTTCAAATCTTAGTACTGAAAGCAAAAAGACTCCAATTCTTTTTTTTTTTTTTAATTTTATTTTATTTTATTTGAGAACATACTGTACAGAGGGGTTACAATTACATGGGCAGGATAATGCATACATTTCTTACCAAGCATTGCAGCCTCCTCCTTTGTTTACCCTTCACCTCCCTTCCCACCCTCCCCCCTCCCCCCACCCAATCAAACCCCCCCTCCCCCTCCCCCCACTCCGACATTGTAAAGCTGGTTTTGACATGACATTTTGTACTTCTCATTGTTGCAACAGGTCCACCTGAACCCTTAAACGACTTGTTTGTCCCCATCTCCTCCACATGTTATACTGACATCAAATATAGTGAAAGCAGGGGTTACACTGTGGGGGAGGGACATACAAAGCAACAAAGAAATAATCTTATAAATGCGTTAGAAACACATGCATGAAAGAAACAAAAACATTAAAATACATATTTGAGGGTTCGTTTTCCTAACATCACATTATCTGACTTTTTCCGCTTGACTCATACCTATACTAGATATTGCAAATAAGGGAAACCATGGGACCTATGTTTCTTTGGGCTTGGCTTACTTCACTTAATATAATTTTTTCCAAGCCTTTCCATTTCCTAACAAATGGGGCAATGTCATTCTTTCTGATGGAGGCATAGAATTCCATTGTGTATATATACCACATTTTCTTGATCCATTCATCTACTGAGGGGCATCTGGGTTGGTTCCATATCTTAGCTATGGTAAATAATGCTGCAATAAACATAGTTGTGCTGGTAGCTTTAGTGTGGTCTTTTTTGTAAACATTAGGGTAAATGCCCAAAAGTGGGATTGCTGGGTCATAGGGGAGTTCTATGTGAAGTCTTTTGAGGAACCTCCATACTGCTTTCCAAAGTGGTTGAACAAGTTTACATTCCCACCAACAATGAAGTAAGGTTCCTTTCTGTCCACATCCCCTCCAGCATCTGTTGTTAGAGTTCTTGACTTTTGCTGTTCTAACTGGAGTGAGGTGATATCTCAATGTTGTTTTGATTTGCATTTCTTTTATGGCTAGGGATGTTGAACATTTCTTCATGTGTCTATTGGCCATCCTTCTTTCTTCTTCAGAGAAGCTTCTCTTTAAGTCTTTCGCCCACTTACTTATTGGGCAGTTGTTTCTTTGAGGATTTGTTGTTGGGTGGTTTAATTTTTTGAGTTCCAAGTATATTTTAGATATGAGACCCTTGTCTGTTGTATGGCTAGTAAAGATCTTCTCCCAATCCGTGGGCTTTCTATTGATCTTGCTAGCTATGTCATTTGCCCTGCAGAAGCTCTGCAACCTTATGCAATCCCATTTGTCCAACCTTTCTTTGATTTGTTGTGTTTCCGGGTCTCTATTCAGAAAATTTCGGCCTGAGCCAAGGAGACCCAGGGTTTCTCCTATTCCATCCTGTAATGTTTTCAGAGTAAGACTCCAATTCTTATCTTCACTTTTCATATTCCCTGAGCTATGGGAATTCATGAGGTTATGTTCTCTAGCAACTTTTAATCATTACATATTGGTTCTGGGTGGTTAAAGTGAGTGTTGTTTATTATTTTAAAACATAGCAATGTGATTCAGGCCTCCCCCAAACACAAGGGCAATAGTCAAGTTTACAGACGTTCATCTGCCAAACTTGTCCTCCAATTTCTGTTTCTTAGAATTCTCAGACTCTTACCCATTCATGAAGAGTTTGCAACTCAAACTCTTCTCAAAGGAGAAGGCAAATGCACACCCATAGGCAAATGCAGACAGCCCCAGTATGTCTCCCTGTTCTTTTAACGTAGCATCTAAAAGGATAAGATGCTGGGAGGGGAGTTTCAGTTCTCTTTCTCGTTGTAGTTTCTGATCTAGTTTTCATATTTATTATTTTTAATTTCTCTGTTGCCTCATCTAGCTATCTATGACCAGGACAGCCTATAACTCACTGCGTAGGCAGGCTGGCCTCCAACTCACGATCCTCGTGCTTTGCCTCCAGATATTCAGATTA